CTCTCTCGTTTCGTATCTGGGTATATAGAAACATGTTCAAATGCATTCCCAATTTTTTCACCTTTCGAAATGTCAGTTCTTTGCTTACAGATCCGCGCTTATAGGTGAATAGGATTGGTTTGATTGTCTTGATTGATTACCATATTCCGATTGATCGATCGGGTGGAGCAGAGAGAGGGGGGGGGGAGGAGTAGAATAATTAAAAAAAAAAAACTCGATAGCATTTTCCCAGTGAACCAGATGATGAAACTGGATGTACGATCCATTTTTCTTCCATGCATACATGCGCTTCCCATCATCTGAAATGACTATTGTCTACATTTGCCTTCTTTGTAAAATTCCTATTGAATATGAGATTAACGGAGGATTTGATTCAATTTGATTCAAAGAGGGAATTTGTCGTGTTCATACAGCAAATCAGGCCTGAATTGAAAAGCTAGGAAGCATTGTAAAGTTGTTTTTGGACGTGGTAGGGCCTGATCAGTGTAGTGCAATGCGGTACGAATCTGTCAACCCAACTGGGAATTTCGAACCCGCGACCTTAGGGAAGCAGGGAGGCTACCCAGTCGGTCCCCGGGCAGCTGAACAGACCGTTTTTTCTTTTTGGATTTTCCATTCACGAATAAACGAACAAAAGTTTCGGCTAATGTTATTCATAGCGCATGTATCTTGTTTGGTTTTTGCTGTCCATTTTTGGCCACTTTATGTGTTTGTGTGTGTGACTCCGTATGCTCAAAACAGATTTATTATTACACACGTATTGATTTACATCAAAAGGAGGCAAACCCCATAATCAACGATACACTGTAAGGGGAGGTATGTGGGGGAACATTCAAGTAAGAATCAATTTGTTAATCCTACTTTAGAAAAGTGTAAGGTTATAAGAGCTGGAAAACACAGATAGAAGTCCGACATCTGGGGACAGAAACCTGATAAGGGTAACTGCTTGCCTGAGAACGAGATGGACGAGAAAAGGTCACTGGAAGGGGAACCGCTGAAGAGAGTTCGGAAGAGCAGAAACCAAAATCGTAACGATAAAAAAAGATAGCGAAGCAACTGCTCGGAGATGTGGAAGTGACTGCAAGGTTAAAGTTAAAGACGCTTCATCGATCAGCCGGATGGCTTTACGTTGAACACGATCGAGGAGAGAAAGAGCGGAATACGAAACCCCACCCCCATACAGGACTGCAGTATTCAAGCATCGAGCCGATTTGAGCTTCGGTGAAAAGAAACGCCTTGCGCGGAATAGAAAACCGAATTGCGCGCAGCGTGAAAGGCAAGTGTAGAGATAAAAGGGGACCAACAGAGAGAGGAATTTAACGATATATCCAAGGGGAAGAGAGAATTTACGAAAAGAAGGAGCAGATAATCAAAAATCAATGCAGGAGAATAGGGGACACGTTTAAAAGAGACTGAGAGGAGAGGAGTTTTGGAAGCATTGACACACACATGGTTGGTAGAACCCTATGCGGAGATTAGTCCGAGGCAAGAGAAGCACTAATGACGCTGCGATCGTGATCTGTGTTGATATTAACTTGACGGATTGTGGGCGGTAGGAAAGAGAAAGAGAACAATGGACAGTGGTATCATCGAATTGGTGGAACAGCACATTCTAGATCACCCAGCACGTGTATTAACTCTCCGGGTTTGATAATCCACACACTACTTGGGTTGGTTGATCCAGGTTGCGTAATTCATCACCTGCTGCGTTCTACGAAATGGAGCCATTTAGCACGGTTATTCCCCCTGTACACGTACAGGTATTGACCAAATTCGTGCAACATCCTGACACTTTCATCACATTTGTTCCTCTCAATGCTTCATTCATCCAGCCTCATTCACGAGAGATGGAATATGATATTCTCCCACATCACACGCAACATATCTGACATAATAGCCACTTATATAACTGCTTCTATTAGCCACATCCCATTAAAATGTACCATTTCGCGATTTCGACGATGGTTGCTGGTGCATCAGTTGTGAAATAACAAGGTCACCGTAGAATGCGTAGCTAGAATTTATTTATTAAAATGACTCATAGACTTCATACAGGTGTTGCAGTTTCATCGCGTCCATGTTCCAATTGCCATTCTGCATTTTTGAGTACTGGAGGCAGTCACTTTAGCATGGAGTCTACCAAATTGACTGCCAAACAGAATTTCTCAGTTTCCTCTAATACACTCCACACCCTAACCACTGAAGACCAATGTCGAGACAACTGACTTCTCTCTGTTTCTGATACAGGGAAACGCTTTTGATTAAATTAAAGTTACAGTTGCTTCGCGGTAATTGAACAAATCTGACATTGAACTTGACCCATCCAGAGACTGTATGAATGTGAATAAATGATATTTAATTATGTCTAACCGTTTTCCACTACCAATTGCAAGCGAGAAGATATACCAACGTTCATATGTGAAAAATATGACTTCCGAGAATGCACTTCAAGAGTAGCAGTTATCGAAAACCTCTCTTATCCGTGCAAAACACTTTGCGATATCTAGATTTGTGTGTATAGAAGACCAATAACAAAGCACTCGGTGTTAGGCTTCAATTATATGCAAAAAACGTTTAAGTGTTTCATCCGGTTTGGGTATGGTGTCACTACAAGACGCTTATTCAACAACCCGCACACCTCAAGATCAACTTTCAAAGATCAAGTTTTATCTTTATTGAACTGTGTTTTCAGTTTTTTCAGTATAGTGGATAACGGGTGAGTAGTTTATTGCCCAATAATTTACCAATTTACTTAAATTAGAATATTTTCATTAATTTGCTTATTTACTGTGCACGGAATGAAAAGACATGAAAAATTTAAAATACGTTTGTACAACTTAATAAACACTCTCAAGGAACAGGAATCATTTATTAAAAGAATAAATTACCATGCTGCTTTACGTGAAATATTTTTGAAATCTCAGGGTCACGCAAATTCAAACGGGGATAGAAGAGAACTAAGAACATTGGGGTGGGAGATAAAATCGGAAATGAATAAACTTTACCCATAGTCATCAATATACAAGTATGATATTGGAGACTGAATTGTATTTTCAAAATCAGAGTGATGTTGCACGAGTTTGATCAACACTTGTAATTGAACGGAATAGGACCGGATGCTTCATTGCACCACAAAATCGATCGTTTATCCCCGGAACGTTAGTGCCCAACCTTACACACTCACAACTGAACAATGATCTCATTTTTAACCTGCCTCTCTGGGGTCGGACAACGTACACGTGTGAAGGGGTAGTTCGTTTTTTTCCCTGAATTTATTTCTCCACCATCAGACAGAGTAGATACTTTAGAAAAGGTATTTTCATTCAAAATTGGTTGAAAATTCTTGAAA